TAGTTAATATATATCGAGAATGAGAGGACGATCAACACAAAGGCTTTTTACAAATGTGACTTTGTAAACTCTTTTTTTCGGACTCCCTTCAATCTGAAATAAATAGCACGTGCCGCTGATCGTTTCTGTGTCCCCAGATTTTTCCGCCTTGAAGATGTGTTTACGTACGGGGTTGTTCGCCACGCCATGGTGGATGTCCAGGCAGTTCACGTGGACGTGGTCACTCACGAGTGGGGAGAATATCGCAGATGTGTCGAGAAGCACAGGTGACTATTTAATAGTGCTGGGCGGCTAGGTTCCCGATTATTGAAAGCTAGGAGTCGTAGGAATCGACTTCGAACCAAACTACTTGCTAATGATGTGGTTTCTTTCGGTGGTTACCTGGTTGGCTCTGAACATCTTCAGGATTAATAGGGCTGGGCAATGAGTCGTTTTAACAAAATCTGGATACTATCTTAGTGCACCTCTTCCGGCAAATCATATGTTATGAACCAGTTCGACAAATGGGTTAGAACCACTTTGACAAACGGGTTAGCATCGCTTCTACAAATGGGTGCACCCACTTCGGCAGACGGTTTCAGGAAAAAGAGTTAGAGTCTGAATTCGGATAATGTCTTATTGGGGATTATCCTATTATCCGGATATTTATCCGGATTTTGGCCACCTCTAAGGATTAAGGATAGCCCTGATTTCGGAACACTTTTTTCCCTTCCAAAATGAAATTTAAAAACAAGATTGTAATGAATAAAGCAACAGGTAACCGTTGGTTTACGTAAAAAGGAATAGGAACTTGTTTAGTGCTAATCACGAGAATTTATTCCGGAATCCATTCTTAGTCCAGCTCTACTATTTCAAAGATCGTAGGCCTACATAACAAGATAGTTCACTCCTCTCTTTGGACCAATTAAAAAAATGTCCTAAAAATTAGGTGGCGCTCTCTTCGTAAAAGCGCGGACTTCACGAATAGAGTTCATCTCTATTTCTCTTGTAGTAATGTCATAACCCTTTCTGAACTGATGTCGGCGTATACAACTAAGTCCATCACCTCCGTTGTTTTGCGTTTTCGTTTTTAATCTTGTCTTTCCATGTTTGTCAGAGAGCTTACCAAATATTGCAATTTGTAAATTTGTAATTTTCTACATAGGGCGTGACATTTTCACGCTTCTGATTTGGGCTTAAATGAGATTTACTTTGGCTTTAGCTTGAGTTTCTTTGATGTAGACAGATAGTGGGTGCGCGCACGCGTGTGTGTGTAAGTGTGTGTGTGTGTGTGTGTGTGTGTGTGTGTGTGTGTGTGTGTGTGTGTGTGTGTGTGTGTGTGTGTGTGAGAGAGAGAGAGCGCAAGAAAAAAAAAGAGAGATCCATACATAGATGGAGGTTGATAGATGGATATAAAATATTTAAACACAGATAGAGAGAGATAGCGAGACATATAGCTAGATAAATAGATAGCGAGGACAATAGTTTGCGTGTGCATTTGTGTGTTTGTGTGTGTGTGTGTGTGTGTGTG